TGTAAAGAGAGTCTGCACGTCTATTTGTTTCACCTGAAATATTTACCATGGAGACACAAAAATCTCTTTTAGTACAGGCAGTAGTCCAGGCCAAAACAGCAGTATGAAATTCAACACAAAGAATAAACCACCGTTCCTAAATAGATACCAAAATATAATATTGTATATAACCCTAACCCCTGACTGGTAGTACAAAGTGGATGGTCTGTTAGTCCAATAAAACTCACAGAGAGACAGATTATTAGTCTGATATTTACATGAACAAATCTCCAAAAGGCTCCAACCGCACAAACACAGCCCAGAGGTTAAAGGTCAGGAAATGAATTAGCTGAAGGGACACCTAGCAGACAGCTAGCAGCTCCCACCTGTCACTCAAAGAGGCCACGCCCCCTAATTCTAGATCCCTTTGAGCCTTAATATAATGTAAATAGACATTCCGCCGTACAGGTGAAGAGAGAAATGAGCTCTATAGACCCAAACTGTTTATGGGGACTGACTCACTGCAGGAGACAGACTCTAGTGGACATTTTTGCAGTTGACCTTCAGGGCCACCGTAGCATACAGTTACCATCAGTGGATATTTGCACATTAATTACTTTAACCTGAGCCTGTGAAGAAGCCTCACTATGGAATGAAAGGAAGAGCTGTAGAAGAAGAAGCTGAGACTGAATAAATCTGTCCGTCGTCCTGTTCCAAGGTCAGAACAAACATTCATTAAAATGCAGACCGTCCGACTGTCTGTTCAGGTTCTTCTTCTGCAGCAGATAAAAGAGACATAGTCCGCTCCTCCTCTGCTGCAGGAAACACACTCTGACATCTCTTCTTCTTCTTCTATTTATTCACAGCTGAATCTATTTATAAATCACCTGAGCAGGAGGGATCTGTGACCCTGCTGGCTGCAGAGGAGGACGGTCGGACAATTGTTTTATATTTGTGTTTGAGTCTAAATACGAGGCAGATGCTTCATGAATCTTCTCTTTTAGACGTGTACCACCCTTTGCCAAGTGAAACCTTAAGGTGGAGATATATTTGCTTTATAGGCCTGTACTTGATGGCCGCCACATATTCCCTGTGTCTGATTGGAGCGAGGGGGGGGGGCTGAACTCAGGCTGCAGCTTCAGGTGATCCTAATGGCGGAGCGGAGGAGACCGTGTCCCTGTGTTCTGCAGGCTAAGTTTCTCTTTTGTGGAGGCTGGTGGTTTTGAAGAAAGGATCTGTTTCTATATGGAAGAACTGTTGTGTGAAGTTTGGGATGTGTGCTGCAGCAGCTCCTCACAAACCACAAACTATTTCAATAACAGAATAATTGTTTTTCTTCCCTCCGCAAATTCCAAACATCTGCAGCCTCCAGCTTCTCAGCGTGAAGATAGTTGAGGGAATACATTCAGGTTTCCACTGGTTACACAAAGCAACACATGTTTGACATTTTCTGGATGAAACAGAACTCCAGCCAGTTGAGCAATAATGAGATTATTCAATAATGAGGATTATTGCTGCTGCTCTGACTCTGTGTTTGGACTCAGTGCTGCAGCCAGCTGTCCAGGAAACGCTCAGAAAAGACTTTTTAATAATAAATTAAAGAAATGTAAAACACATGGATCCAACCAGAACCCTCCTCTGCAGCTGTTTCTCCTTCTGCATGCAGGTGAAGTCCACCAAACCCCAAACATCCTCGACATCCTGAGAATCAGAACATTTAGCCAAACAGCTCTCCTCCTCCTCCTCCTCCTCCTCCTCCTCCTCTGCCTGGTGTTTCTCCTCTCGCTCTCTTTCTTCCTCTCCGTGTCATTAACGGTGATTTATACGAGGGCTCGCAGGAACACGGCGGTGCCAATAGGTGGGATGTGGGTACACAGCACCCCCACCCCCCCTCACCTGCTCCTCGGAGTCGGTGATTGATCAACACAAACACAACGATGAGCAGACGGCCGCACTGAAGAAACACACACAGACACACAATTAGAGTGTGTGTTTTGTTCGGCAGACAAAAGCTATTGTGTGTGTGACGAATGCAGAGAGTCATCTGAGCAGACTGGAGCTTTATTTTGAAAGGAACACACCAGCTCTCAGTCTGTGTTCAGTGTTTCTCTGCGACCTGAGAGCCGATAAAAACCCACCTCATGGATTCATGGATAGTGTTCACACAGACACACTTCACACTCATACTCAGCAGAGAGAGTTTAAGTGTTATATTTATAAATGAGGTTCTGTGTGTGAGTCTGGCCTCCTTCGTCTGCTGCTCTTCATATCCAGTTATTATAAACATGACGTCCTATTGAACTCTTTACAAACGGGAAGCCTGCAGAGACGTTTGGAAAGTCTCTGATATGTTTGTGTTTCTTCTCTTTCTAACTAAAGCTCCATGTGACGAGTCCAGGCCTCAGGAGATCCTGCAGACACACACTGCTGTAAAGTCATCTCTGCCTCTGCACACTCACACAGATGTGTCATTAAATCACAGCTCAGAGACTCGTCTCATTGAGCGATATGCTGATTTATTCTGTCATTAGCATAACAAATCAGTTCTTCAGCAGTGAGGAGATGAAGAGGGGGAAAAACAAGAAGGAGGCTGTGAAGACAGAAATAAAAAGAAATAAGAGGCAAGATTTAAGAAGAATGAAAGACAAAGCCGGTAGAGAGAAAAGGTCAACAGCTCACCTGCTGTTCAGGTGTGTTCTCACTCACTCAGGTAAACGGTGTCAGGTCTGTGAAGATCGCTCCGAGGAGTGTTTCTCTTTTTAACGTGCAGTTTAACGAGCTGTTATTAGACACACACAAAGCTCCTTTAAACAAATGTTCAGGGTCAGTCCTATAAACAGTCACAGTCTTTACCACGACTTTATCAGGAGCTCCAAGTCAAATGTTCAAGTGAAGTCAGGGTGAGCTGGTTTCAGAATGCAGCTCGTTAGATTCAGGAAAATTCACCACGAGGGAGCGTGCGAGGTGATGACGTCCTGTCTTATTGTGAAAGTGTCCTGCTGCAGTGAGGGACGTGTGAACAGGAAACTCAGGAAGATTTCAGGAGCAGCCGGCCTGAAATGTTCTCGAGATTTTCTGGAGTTTATGCTTAAAAAGGCTCAGAGATGCATTATTGTGTGTGTGCGTGTGCATGTGCGTGCAGAGAGGAGCTGCTGGAAGCTGAACTGGTTCATTCTTGTCTGGACTGCTCTGGCTTGGCTCTGGTCTGTCTTTGCCATATGGGCCGCTCTGGCACTAACATACTGTACTCTTCAGCTGGCTGAACACTTAACAGTGATTGCTCACTACACACACACACACGCACGCACACGCACGCACGCACGCACACACACACACACACACACACACACACACACACACACACACACACACCAATGATGAGAAAAGTCCATCCTCTCTGTCTTCTGTCTGCTCCACTTTTCAGAAAATGTGTGCTCAAACAGGCTGTTTGGAGATTTTCGCTTCATGACATCACAAAGGGCAGTAATCCCTCCCCCAGGTGGGTGACACTCCCACAGCTAGGTGTTTGTTCTGCCCTCTGAGTCTGCCTTCTCACCGTAAACAATAGGACATGGAGTGAGAAAGCCAGAGACACCAAAGACCTTCCAGAGAGGGGGCGTGGTCAGACAGCTCATTTACATTTCAAGGTACAGACACAGAAACAGCCTGTTCTGAGCAAGGCTGCAATAGAGGAGTTTATAGACATGATCAAATACAGGATCAGAGTGGATTTAGAACAAGAAATTTCACAGAAATGTTTGGAGGAGCTCTGAGACTTTTTTACACTGTTTGAAGAGGAGGAGAATATGTGACCTTTAATGTCAGGGAAATATTTTCTCAAGGACGGAAATTCTGAGTTACCAGTCTGATATGTCATTAGGAACGCTCCCTGAAGTCTGAACTCTAACTCAGAAACGTGAAGCAACGTAAAGTAGTCCGAGTTCAAATCCAACATGGCTGCTACGTGCATCAACAGTAACAGTAAAGTGTTTATTAGCAGCTTCGTACCCCTTAACTGTAATTAAATCAATCACACTGATAGTATCGTGTAACTTCTCTCTGTGGACATGTTGTTGTGTTATTGTAGAGTATAGTGCAAACTATCATGAAGTGTGTCGTTATCGTCAGGTATTAGCTAACAAAACAAAGATACTCCTGGAGGCGTCCATGTTGCTTGTCCGACTTGCAACTGGAATGCGTTTAACTCGGGTGTGACGTCATTCTAAGGCCCGAGATCTGAGTTAATGGAACGCACATTAACCCCAAGTTGCTCCCGCTGCTTCCTCAGCGGCGTGTGAATGGATGAGTTAATACGGATGGTCTCCTTACATAGCAGCCTCTACCATCAGTGTGTGAATGTGTAGGTGTGACCTGCAGTGTCAAAGCGCTTTGAGTCGTCAGAAGGCAAGAAAAGAACGATACAAGCTCAGATTTCTGAGTGGACTCTTGTGGTCACGTTTTACAGACCTGTAAAATAAACCATCTGTGATGTCACACAGCGCTGCTTCTGATTGGCTGGTTCCTGTGTATTGTTGTCAAAGAAGTAATTGAATGAAGTGGCCATTTGTGTAATCACATCAGCTCTTTTATCCACATGCACACACACATTCACACACACACACACACACGCCTAATGTTTTACTGCCATTGTTTCTGTCGTTTACCTTTTATTCAGAAAGGTCAGCAGCGCCCAGCTGGTGCTCAGTGTGTGTGTGTGTGTGTGTGTGTGTGTGTGTGTGTGTGTGTGTGTGTGTGTGTGTGTGTGTGTGTGTGTGTGTGTGTGTGTGTGTGTGTGTGTGTGTGTGTGTGTGTGTGTGTGTGTTTGTGTGAGACTCAGGATGCTGTAAATCATGTGGTGGTTTTATTAGCGACTCGCTCTCAGAGTCGGTGTGTTGCTGGAGGGGACGGGGAGGGCAGGGCTGACGTCATGGCTGGAACCTGAACACATCACATCCCTCTCTCTCTCTTTCTCGCCTCACATGGGGTCATAAAGTCTGATGGATTCCATCTTCTCTCCACAGGGACCATCAGACGTGATCAGCTGCTCTGCAAACAGTAAGTCTTGACTCTTGAATTGTTTCTTCTTGGCTTTTATTTTCTGCACACATGTATCTCGTCATCTCTCCATCATCAGGATGAGCACAGATGTTCAGGATCAGTTTGTCTTTCTTGGTTTCAGTTTGTCGATCACAGAAGATGCTGCTCCTCTCTGCGTCCTGGTTTTCATTAGAAGCTCATTTTAAAAACATCAGGCTGTGCTCGCTGCTGTGGTTTGTGTGTGATGGTTTCTGATGAGCGTGTCTCACCACAACAGGATTTAGTTTAGTCTTAAAGTCTGCATCAGGTCTCATCAGATTCAGGGTTTGCCCGGCTGCTTGTATTCATAAAATTCAGCAGAAGTTTGACTCATTCTGTGTTTTGTCTTTAACTCCTCAAAGCAGAATGTGAGAACTCAGGAATCATATTTGGTTTTGATGTGTGGCTTTTCTTGTTGTGGGGGTTATTCTTTGATTGCTGGAAAATTTGAGGATGATTGACCCTTTTTCAAACCCTTCCCTCACCTGTTAGTAACCCTCTGTAAAGCCTTGCCCTCCTTAGTTACTGTTGCTAGGTTAGACTAAATCTCTTGTCTCCGACGCCTTCCCGTTTGAAACTTTTGAAAATGTGACTTTTATTCGTATTTAAGTGATCAGATTCTTTTCTAAACTCGTCCTGAGTGACAGAATCAGGATAGAGGTATGGTCAGGTGTATTAGGAGAACTCTAAATCTCTAAAAAACATGATTCATATCTGATGCTAGTGATGTGGGCTAAAGTTAGCTGTCCTCCCGTCGCTGCTAGCCGTCTCACCCCTCCTGACTGACCTCTGGACTCCATCAGTGACCATCTCTGGAGCCAGAGGTCTGAAACATCCTCTAAATGTCTCCAACAGATCCTTCAATACGCAGCTGAGAGTTATGAGCACAATCTGAAAATCACAGCGACATCACCGAGAGATAAATGCTTCAGATCCATGCAGAAACAGAAACCTAAAATATGTGGATATTAAGAGTCACTCCTGCAGACACCCCGAGCACATTTAACCAACAAAGTTTGTCTAACTGGAAGTAACCCGGCAACAGTTGCTATGAGAGGAGGCTCCCTGATTGGTGAGTCAGCAGATCAATCAGAGAGCAAACAAAGGTCAATTATTGGTCATGCCGTATTCTTCAAAGGTTGAAACTTCGATGCCGTTGTGATCTACATCCAAACATCTGAATGCAATGTTTTTATCCCTTTTGAAAACAAATCAGGCTAATATCTGAGACGCTAAGTTTGCAGAGACACTGCGATCCTTCTTCACGACATTAAGTGTACATTTGAGCAGTTTTGATGCCATAGGTGCACAATGACTCTCACGTCATGTGAGGTGCGTGTTGGATTGATGTCGTGTGATTCATATGCGAAACAGGACAGTGAGCTTTGTTCTGAGATTGTGTGTTCAGATTTTGACCTCAGCACGGCGTCTCTACATTTTCTACATGAGTTTGTAATGTTAATGTTTTTACAGTGTGTCTCTGTGGCACATGCACTTCCTGCTCTCAGGCCGGTTGTAGCTGATTTCTTTCAAGACAACAAACACTGACGGGGGGAGGGAGACAGCAGCAGAGGCTGAAATGAGGGTTTTTACTGAGGTCAGTATCAGATAAATATGATAATGTAAAGCTGCCCTAAAGGTTTCATAAGCCGTTTTCACATATGCACTCCGGATAATATGTAGATATTTACAGGAGGACTTATCCGGAGATTCTCCCGAACTAGCCGTTCACATATGCTCCTCACAGCTGGAGACTATCCCTGTCAGAGGGGAGGGGCCGCGGGGGATTTCTCGACGTAAGATGTGACGTAAATAAACAACGTGGAAGTAGCAGCCGAAGCAACAGAGTCCGCTACACAACGTTATAATGAGAATATTTGCCTTTATATCAATGCTATGTGTAGTCCAATGGAATGACAACATCCACAAAAAAGTGGAGAACAACAGACTGACGAACAGAAAACATAATGCAGCCGTTTAATTACGTGCACGGAGATCGTAGTGGTCGCGTGCAGACACTTTAGCCGGTCACTGTATATAAACATCACTTGGGTCCCATTGGCTGAAATGGAAATCTATAATAAAGACCCTCCGGGTAGACTAATCTCCAGATTTTTTCAGGAGATTTCCGTATGTGTGAAAAGGGTTATAGACTGATGACATGAAAGATGAACATGAGGAGGAGATGTTCAGACTTTCCAGCATTATTGTGTCTGCAGCATGTTAGCATATAAATATTATAAAGCACATAAAAGTATCTGTGTGTGCAGGCTGAGAGAAAGAACTAACACTGGATTAGGATGGATTAACACCTCCGTCGTCAACGTACACGCTGCTTTCTCCTCCCTACACTTTTCCTTTCTTCTCCTCCCGCTGTTCCATTTCCTCTCTCCTCTCTCATCTTACTTTCTCCTCTTCTGTTTTTGTTTGCATGTTTAAATCTTCTGTTCTTTCTCCTCCACCATCCTTCATTTTAGTTTTTACACTTCAGCCATCTTCTTTATCTCACCAACTCCTCTACTCTAACACCTCTCCTCTCCTCTCCTCTCCTCTCCTCTCCTCTCCTCTCCTCTCCTCTCTTCTCCTCTCCTCTCCTCTCCTCTCTTCTCATCTCCTCATCTCCTCATCTCCTCTCCTCTCCTCTCCCCCTTTCCCTCCTCCTTCATCTCCTCTGTCCTCCTCCTCCTCTGAGGAGACAGCAGAGGAGCTCGGGGAGCAGCAGGGCCACAATTTACATCTTGATATATCAGTTCCCTGCAGCAGCAGAGGCGGTGATGGATGGCGTGTTGCCGGCACCGCGGCGCTGCCATGAGTTACCGTGGTGATTACCGGCAGAGACGGCTGCTCACTGGCCACTTCATCACGGTGACTGGTAGAGAGGAAGGCGAGAAAAGAGAGAGAAAAAGGAGAGAGGCGCAGAAAAACAGAAGGAGAAGTAAGAAAAACACAATCGGAGGAGAGAGCTGGGGGAGGCGGCGGTGACTCGACGAGGCAGGACGGAGGAACAGAATCATTACAGGAGAAAACAGGAAACAAATCGTCCTCATGCAGAAAACACGACAAAAGAACAAACAAGAAAAGGACAACACAGAGAGGACCAGGGTGTAAATAAAGATCTGCTGTAAACAAAAGGATTCTGTGTTTGTCACAGCCGCAGTTCAGATTCGTTTCAATAAAAACGTCAAAATAAAGCTGGCTACACATTTAGACTACTTTCAAATCTCGACCGATTTTAAAAACCTGGGAGACCTCAGACATGAGGACAGTTTTAAATGATCATAATCCTCTGAACGCACACACTCGGTGATTTAGCCAGACCCTCAAACCTGCTGTTTGTAGTAACGACTCCAATGACGCGAGATCTCACAGAATCTGACGTGATCAGACAAGATTTCAGAAGAAAAACAAACATAGAGGACGATCGTCATCGTCAGCTGTCCTGCTGTGTGATTGGTTTTTCATCGAAAAACATTAAACGAGAAAGCAAAGTGATGGACTTTGACTCGTGGTGCATCAGTGACAACAACCTTGGCAACGACTTTGATTAACAGATTTACAGACAAATCAGTGTTTCAAAAAATGTTGTTGATTGGCTAAAAACTAGACTATTCATGGACTATTCAGAACCGGGACATATTAGAGTTTCATAGATAATTGTGGGACTCGGGTCATGGAAGTTGAAAACGGGACAGTGCCGGTCAAACCAGGACGTATGGTCACCCTACCTGCCCTACACTTATAAGCAGACTTTTAAGCCACAGTAACCCTTGATACAGCCTAACTTCACAGACATGAGCTAAAGCTGGCAAATCCAAAGTCCCAAAATCATGCTAACAGACTGAGGTTACAGCTAACCGGTCTTAGGTTATGATATCATGCTAATAGGCTAATGCTAACAGGTTTCAGTCCTTTATTTGTAGCTTACAGACTGCAGCCGAAGCTAACAGGCTCTATTGTGTTCAGCTTGTTAGCTTAGCATAATGGTGTGGGTAGACAGGCTCTATTGTCTGCAGCTTGTTAGCTTAGCATAATGGTGCAGGTAGACAAACTGCCCCTGCACAACCTGCATGCCGTGTCACAATGACGCACATCCTTTGGAAAAAAACGGTGCCCATGAACTTAATCCAGTCAGCAGATACATTTCCAAACACAACGTACAAGTTCATTTTATATAATTTGTTTTTGTAGGACTCATGATTGATGACAGACAGACTCCTCCGCTCAGGGCAGAATGTACATTTTCTTCTACTACTTATTAAAGCCTGTGTCCTCGGGGAGCGTTCACCTCGGGTTTCTCCCTCTCTCTGTGTCTCATCCTGCGGTTGGTGATTTCATGTCTAGACCAGCTGCTGCCTGCCATCCAGCTGAGGGAAAATTTGACATCCCCTCCTTCACCTCCTCCTCCTCCTCCTCCCTCCATGCTCGCCATAAAACCTGAGCTAAAACAGATCGATGCTGCGTTGCTTTTTCTCTCGGCTGCAGACTCATTAAAAGAGTCACACTGAACACTGAGAGGGAGACGCCAAAGAGGTATTCAGGACTAAAGAATACAACATTACAAGTTAAAATCCTGCATGATAAGTACAGAGAGTAAAAGGTACCACAGTTAACAGCAGTATCGTCAGCTTCCTGTACTTAAAGCGTGGCAGTGAGAGGTGATCTGCAGGACACAGGGTTGTGTACTGCTGAGTGTATTTTTTCCTGCCTGGTGAATAATTTAATTCTGTGTGGTTCGACCTTGAGACGTCCTCTGTGCTCTGAACGTTCACCACACACTGATGTTTCTGCTGCAGCCTCAGATAAAACCACCTCTCTACAATCCTCTATGTGATGGAAAGAGAAAAAATAGACTGAGGTGGAAAATACAGCAATCATTTACTTCTATTAAAACCATCATAACGTACACAGAATGCTCAACAAAAGTGTGTAGAAGAAGACCAAACTGGAGAAGAGAATGACATTCCATACGTGCATGGAGA